GGCCCCATGGGCCGCTCCCACTTAGTCTGCCTTTCCAAACACTAAGGCTGTCAGGGAAGGCTTCAGGTGAAGTTCCTGGCAGAGTGTGGGACAGGAGGTGAGAGGACACTAGCCTCCAAAAGAACAATGGGAAGGGGATCATCAGCCGGTCCCACTAGGCATCCAAAGCAAACCGCTCCTTCCCCAAGTTATGCTCTGGTGTACCAACAGAGAGGTTTGGAAGGTGTCCTTGAGGGAAAGAATGATCTCTTGACCCCTACCCCCACCCCAGGAAGGCAGCTAAGCTAACAATGGAGAGGACTGAAGAGGCTAGAAGAGATCATGATATGATGGAGGAAGCACTTCCACCAGATACCTTTCATGAGCAAGGAAGGCTGATTTTGTTAGCTCTTTGCTGCATCAGTGGTGAATGAAATGAGAGCAAGCTGGAAATAACCTCCAATTCCACCAGTTCCTCGGTGGCAGGGCCTTGTGGATGGAGAGGAGCTGTTCCTGTCAGGCCTCCACCACAGGATTGAAGGCTGGGGTGGGCAGGAGGATGTGGCGGATGGTGTTGCCATGGCAGCACTTCCTCCCTGTGTTGTCATCACTTGCTCTAATGGCACTAAGGAGGTAGAGCGGAAGGTGTGTGGGGGGAAGACAGGAACAAGAGCAAAGGGAGGAAAGGGGACCAAGAAGAGTTCTGGAGACGTCTCTGCACTTTGGCTCTGCAGAGCATGGTGTGCGAGAGTTAATATTCGCTTGGGAGCCTGAGATTCTCTGCATGGTGTACTTCAATGCGTGCGTGTGTGTGTGTGTGTGTGTGTGTGTATGTGTGTGTGCGTGTGTGCATGTGTTTCTCTCTACAGCTGGAGAACAAGAGGTCACTGATCCTTAGTGGGTCCTGGGAATGAACTCATTATCCAGTCCCAGAACCTGCTGCCCCAGACTGCTTCCTGCCCTGGACTCCCCAGGCAGGGACCAAGTCTACCATGAGTCTATCACAGCCTATCTTCCCCATGCTCACACAGTTCTTCATTGCCAAGAAGGTCAGCTCAACAGGGACCTGCGTTTTTGATCTCCTGGGAGAAGGATCAGAGCAGGGAAAGAGAAAGAATGATAACCACCCATGTCTTTTTCCATCCTCCCTAAATGTATTCTTCCCCAGAGTCCAGCTCCATCTTGGGGACTAGGAAGTGGCTGCCTGGGAAGTGATCTATGATACAGCTAACCCTTCTATCTCCCTGCTAGTCCTTGATACACCCAAGCTGAAGGCTGACCCTTCTCTTACCTCGAACACTGTCCAATGAGGCCTGGATGCTGTCCCGAAGTTCAGGGTCGTCCACCCTCTCTGCCAGCTTCCTGAGGCGGTTTAGAGCCTGCTTGGCCACCTCATGTCGCCTGACTTCTGCTCTCACTGCGGCTACAGCCAACTGCTTCTGGGCATGCATGTTGCCCAGACCGGTCTTGCCAGGCTAACAACGACCTCTGGCGCTGAGGCCCATGGCCCTGCAGCCCCCAAACCTCAGAAGGCCCCTCTGCTGTGCCCAGAACTCCCCGCCCCTGCCCGCCCTTCCGTCTGTCGACCTCACTTCCTGACTGGTGAGTTTCAAACCCACAGCCTGGGACAGCACTACCTCCTGCACCTCCCACACCCCCTAGTGTTGGCCCATCAGCCTTGCCAGCCAGCCCCGGCTATGATTTTGCAGCCAGGTGGATGGAGAGATCTTAACAGCATCCGAGGGCCTCTTGTGGGAGGTAGCTAATTAAGATGGATCTTTCATCCTGGGAAAATATGGCAAGCTAGGTCCCAGGTGCAATCCTAAACTCTTGGTGACCTGCAGATTTCAGACTCTCACAGGAATTCACACACACTTAGTCTGTTATCCTCACAGCCCTGAATTCTAGTATACACTTGTACCCATTACCCTCTACACATCCCAATGAGCCTTGATTCCTTATGTCTTGAAATATGTCTTCCCCAGTCAGCTACCCACTGAGGTCACCTCCTGTTTAAAAGGGCCAGGCGAGGCCAGGTGTGTGGCTCATGCTGTAATCCCAACACCTTGGGAGGCTGAGGCAAACAGATCACTTGAGGTCAGGAGATTGAGACCGGTTTGGTCAACATGGCAAAACTCCGTCTCTACTTAAAAAAAAAAAAAGAAAGAGCCGGGCGCGGTGGCTTAAGCCTGTAATCCCAGCACTTTGGGAGGCCGAGGCGGGTGGATCACGAGGTCGAGAAATCGAGACCATCCTGGTCAACCTGGTGAAACCCCGTCTCTACTAAAAATACAAAAAATTAGCTGGGCATGGTGGCACGTGCCTGTAATCCCAGCTACTCAGGAGGCTGAGGCAGGAGAATTGCCTGAACCCAGGAGGCGGAGGTTGCGGTGAGCCAAGATCGCGCCATTGCACTCCAGCCTGGGTAACAAGAGTGAAACTCTGTCTCAAAAAAAAAAAAAAAAAAGAAAGAAAGAAAGAAAGAAAAACTACAAAAATTAGCCAGGCATGGTGGCAGGCACCTGTAGTCTCTGCTACTCAGGAGGCTGAGGCAGGAGAATCACTTGAACCCAGGAAGTGGAGGTGGCAGTGAGCCAGGATCAGGCCACTGCACTCCAGCTTGGGCAACAGGACAAGCAAGACTCCATCTCAAAAATAAATAAATAATGGCCGGGCACGGTGGCTCACGCCTGTAATCCAGCACTTTGGGAGGCCGAGGCGGGCGGATCACGAGGTCAAGAGATCGAGACCATCCCGGTCAACATGGTGAAACCCTGTCTCTACTAAAAATACAAAAAATTAGCTGGGCATGGTGGCGCGTGCCTGTAATCCCAGCTACTCAGGAGGCTGAGGCAGGAGAATTGCCTGAACCCAGGAGGCGGAGGTTTCAGTGAGCCGAGATCGCGCCATTGCACTTCAGCCTGGGAAACAAGAGCGAAACTCCGTCTCAAAAAATAAATAAATAAATAAATAGGCCAAGTGATTATGGAGAAAATGAGTTATGAAGGAGGAAAATAACCTATAAACAGACAAAAACTATCATGCTCCCTGTTCAATTGCTTTCATAATAATTAACATGTCTAATTGACATGTCTGTAACACTTAATAGTTTACAACATTCTTTCATATACATTATCTTCATGACAGCCCTGAGGGGTAGGATTATTTATTCCTATTCTGCATAAAAGGAAACTAGCACTCAGAGAAACCATTAAGAGGTAAAACAAAGACACGGATTTAGGTCTTCTGATTTTTTTTTAAACTTTATTTATTTTTATTTTTTACCAAGTACATAAAGCCCAAATTGATTATAATTTTGACACCCCTTTCACTACACCACACAACCAAAATTCTTCTCAGCCAGTTCCCCTTCTAATACCACTGTCCTGCCCTTGATTTAGGACCTGAAAGAGAACAAGGTATACGAGGAACTGAAGGAGACAATGAAGATGGGAGCTGAGGTAGGAAGGGGATGGGGGTGGGGAGTGAGGGAATGGGAGGTGGGAGGTAGTTGGCCGTTGGACCTAAATTACTTTGTTTGCCCCGGGCGCCTGTAATTCTAGCACTTTGGGAGGCCTAGGCGGGCAAATCACCTGAGGGGAGGAGTTGGTGACCAGCGTGGCCACCACGGCAAAACCCCGTCTCCACCGAAAATACAAAAAAAATTAGCCGGGCTTGGTGGTGGGTGCCTGTAAGCCCAGCTACTTGGTAGGCTGAGGCAGACAGGAGAATTGCTTGAACTCGGGAGGTGGATGCTTTGGTGAGCCAAGATCCCGCCACTGCACTCCAGCCTGGGTGGCAGAGCGAGACTCTGTCTCAAAATAATAATAACAATAACAATAATTAATTACTTCATTTCAAGACCCAAACATCTCTCTGGTCCTGTCAAATTTCTCTTTTACTGCATACCTTTTTGATATTAATTCCTGAAAGATAAGCATCTATAACTACATAAATATTGTGTAGTTGGTGATAAGGGAATTGAGGCTGGAATTGCGCACAGGAAACTGTAAAATGACCTGAAAAGTAATAATTAACAGTGAGTGTTTACTATGTGCCAGGTACCGTTCTAAGTACTCTACACATATTAACTCATTCAATTCTCACAACCCAGAGGTAGTTGTGTTATTTATCCCCATTTTACAGATGAGGAAACAGGCACAGACAGTTTACGTGCCTGGCCAAAGGTTACACAGCTAGGAAGTGGCAATCTGACTGTGGCAATAAGACCACAAAATCTAAGTACACACAAAAATCATTCTGTTGAGTTGATTGGAGGGTTTTTTTTGTTGTTGTTCCTACTGTTTCTTTGTCCTGGGGAGAGAAGGATTATGCCTTTTCCCATCCGTGTGAAAAGGGGTTTGTCAAAGCACTTAATAATAAAGTTATTGATCAACTCATCCCCAAGTGAAAAGGTGGAGGCTCTTTTCCCTTATATTTATTTATATCCCAGAGGATCTCTCGCCTGTCGTTTTTTGCAAACCCTATAGATCAGGCGTGTACCCTGAAACTGCTGAGCACACCCGTGTGTGCACCTGTGGCAATGCCTGAGCCCGCGATTTCCACACTGAATTTCTGGTATATTCACACTCCGTTGGGAGGGTATATGGAACAGGACATGGGTACTAGCGGACACACAAACGTGTGAGGATTTGCTGGGTGTTGCTGTGTCCAACCCGCGGCCTCTGCGGCCGGGCTAAATAAGCTCAATATGTGGCTCCTTTGGGTGTTCCCGAGTGTGACGCAGTAACACAACAATGGCGTCAACATGAGGTCACTGCAGGACAAGGGGAAGGGAGCGGGGAAGGGCCCTCCTTCCACGGGCGGAGCCCTTTCTACCCAACTCTCGGAGCGGCTCCCTACCCGCCCCTCCCGCCGCCTCCCCTTCACCTAAGTTCCTTCAGAGCCGCCTCCCTCGAATTAGCCCTCTCCAGCTCCGACCACAGAAAGCTCAGCTTTCAACACAAGCTTTTGGAGTTGAGGCTGTGGTCCTTATGAGAATCTCTAGAAACCCTGCCCCTAGTTTTAAGTTTCGCCCAATGAAAAACCTAAAGGAGGGGGCAGGAGGCGGGTCGGTGACGTCATGCGGATTGACTGGCAATGCAGGCCTTGGACGTCCAGGATTAGCCACGCATTTCGCCAATCCAGAGGCAGGGGTGGGACGGTGCAGGCGCAGAGAATTGGGCTTGGCTGGCCTCGATTTAAAGAGGCAGAAGCTGTCGGGGTCCTGGAAGACGGTCCCCAATACCCTCCCCCCAAGTCCTTGGGACCACGTGGGTCCCCAGAGCTGGGGAGATGGTTTGCGGCGGCTTTGCCTGCTCCAAGAATGCGCTTTGCGCTCTCAACGTGGTCTACATGGTGAGGTTTTGGAGGTGGGGGAAGCTTCAGGGCGGAAAGGCCCAATAGGGAGAATCTCTAGGGTACTTCCGCTGGGGAGAGGGGTGTATTGGGGGTTCCAGGAACATTCCCAGGAACTTCCGGCGAAGAGGGAATTCCTGGGGACTTCCGTGGGAGAGAGGGAACTTCCGGTTGCTGAGGGGGTTTGTCTGGGGGTGGGAGAATGAACTGAAAGCTGTGGGCTTATGTTCCATCCCTCCCTCCTGTCAACCTCAGTTTCTCCCAAAGTAGAAGTGATGGGATGATCCTAAGGGTTCAGTTTTTATATTCATACTACCATCCCTGCTACCTTCTACCGTCCCCATCCCAGCCATTCTAACCTTCGGGAGTGCCCAGGGATGCCCCTGGTGTGGGTAGCACCACCCCCATCTCCCATTCACGGACCATTCCATTATTACTTTTTTCTCCCCCAAGTCTTGTAATGGCCTTGGGCTGTGCTGCATGCTAGAATTCTTGAGATGTGTCCTGCTCTTTCTTTGTAGCTGGTGGGCTTGTTGCTCATTGGAGTGGCTGCTTGGGGCAAGGGCCTGGGTCTGGTGTCCAGCATCCACATCATCGGTGGAGTCATGGCTGTGGGAGTCTTCCTTCTCCTTATTGCAGTGGCTGGATTGGTGGGTGCTGTCAACCACCACCAAGTCCTGCTGTTCTTTGTATCCTGACCTGAGTGATGGGGGCAACTGGGCTCTTGGGAGGGCTGTCAGATATCTAAGATGTTAGAAGGGCAGGGGACCTCAGGGATCTTGGACACATCTGCTTGCCTTGCTGTCCCATAATCTACAAAACAAGAGCTGACTTTATTGCTTTCAGTTTGACCTGGTGGTGTAAGTTCTATGACTAGATGAGACCAGGCAGTTATAGATAGAACATAAAGGAATCTAGGACTTTTTTCCATAACCTTTCCTCTCAGTACATGATCATTCTCGGTTTGGTCTTCATCTTCCAGTTTGTTATCTCTTGCTCATGTCTGGCTATTAACCGAAGCAAACAGGTAAGACAATGCCTTTTCAAGTACTTACTTGCTTTTTAAAATTCTCCTCTTACCCTCTAACTCCTTCCTTAGTCTGGCCCCAACTACCCAAAGATCATTCTTAGGTCCACTGCCTCTAGCTTCCTGGGCTATTTGCTTCCTCTGGGATGTCTGGCTAATTTTCCATGATGATCTAGAGAACCTGAAAAGGTAGATATTTATCCTGTCTATAATTGTGACACATCGTTATGCTTCTGGTTGACTTCCTTTGCTGGACTAGTGAAATTGGACTTGAACTTATATCAGGATGCAGGAAGATTTAATTTCCCTCTGCCCGTATCCTCCAGACAGATGTCATCAATGCTTCTTGGTGGGTCATGAGCAACAAGACTCGGGATGAACTGGAAAGAAGTTTCAATTGTTGTGGCTTATTCAACCTCACAACCCTGTATCAACAAGACTATGATTTCTGCACTGCAGTGAGTGTGTTGGGGGTGGTGCAGCAGCCAGGGGAGGTAGGAAACTGGGTAAGGACAATGCCCAAGTTGGCAAATTTAGTTTGAATGTCATTATTTCTCTTTCTAGAAGCCATCTTGTAGGCCGGGTGCGGTGGCTCACGCCTGTAATCCTAGCACTTTGGGAGGCTGAGGTGGGTGGATCACCTGAGGTCAGGAGTTCCAAGACCAGTCTGGCCATCATGGTGAAACCCCATCTTAAAAAAAAAAAAAAAAAAAGCCATCTTGTATTGGGGCTGCGTGTTGGTAGGGGGTAGGGGTGGATACAGAGGCTGGGGAATTAGCCAAGTGGGATTTTAGTTTGTAGGACACTAGTCAGATAACAGTAAAGTTTCTAGGGACATTCAGCATAGGTATTGGTGACTAGCAGCAGCTTTACATTAGCAACTTTGCATTCTTCACACACGTTTTATCCTCAGATCTGCAAGAGCCAGAGCCCAACATGCCAGATGTGTGGAGAAAAGTTTCTTAAGCATTCAGATGAAGCCCTGAAAATCCTGGGGGGTGTTGGACTCTTCTTTAGCTTTACAGAGGTAACATTCTCCAGTTCCCTCATGTACATCCTTTTTAACTTGAGACTGAGAATTGATTGGTGCTTATCTCTCTCCCTTTGTTCCAACAGATCCTTGGTGTTTGGCTAGCAATGAGATTTCGGAATCAGAAGGATCCTAGAGCCAACCCCAGTGCCTTTCTATGAGACTTTGGATCCTTCTGACTTCTCTTCTGCTCTTTCTCTTCCTCCCTTAGAGAAAATCTAGGGTTTGTAACCCTTTTGGTTTGAGAAAAAGGAAAGGCCCTTTGTCATATCCCCTAAAATTGATGGAATAGCAAGACTTTACACCTTGACATATTTTAGTGGGAGCCAGACTATAAGGAATAAAAGAAGAAACTTTCTCCCTCTCTCTCCAAGAGGATATGGGAAGCTTCTGGGAGTGCATAGAATGGGACTGGGGTCATTCTCAGCCGTTTCCCCTCCTCTTCCGTCCATATGCTGGATCACCTCAACATACCCTGGTGTGGCTCTAAGGGTAAATCAGGGACAGAGCCAAGGAGAAAACTACCAAGAACTCTTTCCTGTAATAAGCAGGACCCAGTCTGAGAAAGTTCAATGAATATAAAAGCCATTTAAAATTTTTTTTTTTTTTTTTTTGATACGGAGTCTTGCTCTGTCACCCAGAGTGAAGTGCAATGGCATGATCTTGGCTCACTGCAACGTCTGCCTCCCGGGTTCAAGCAATCCTCCCGCCTCAGCCTCCCAAGTAGCTGGGATTACAGGCATGCACCACCACACCCAGCTAATTTTGTATTTTCAGTAGAGACGGGGTTTCACCATGTTTTAAGTCAGGCTGGTTTCCAACTCCTGACCTCAGGTGATCCACCCACGCTGGCCTCCCAAAGTGCGGGATTATAGGTGTGAGCCATCACACCTGGCCTAAAATCCATATTCAGAGAAGGAATTTCAGTTTCATTCTAAGCTTTGTCAGTCCAGAGGCTCCACTGACTGCCTAGGCCCTGTACCTTAACCAGTCTTTAAGGTTTTGCAGGAAAGTCCCTTCTTCCAAGTGGTTTTTCCAAATTGCACAATGGCCAAGCCAAACAGAGAAAGAAACATTAAAAAAAAGAAAAAAAAAGACCATTTTTTTCTTTGCTTTGTTTTTCCTGTATAAAAAACGACCCCCAGTATAAAGGTAGGGAAAGGGACACGAGGGAACATACCCCTTAGTGTAGAGAAATAGGGGGGCAGAAGGAGAGGCCTCAGAAGGAGAGGTAGGAGGGGAATGTCATTAAGGCAGCAAAGTAATCTCTGTAGAAAGATGGAGGTGGAGCCTCCACAGCCTCAGAGACAAAGGCAGAGACTGCCCTCTCAGTGTCCAGAAGCGAAACGGCAGCTTTTCTTCCTTCCATGGCAGCCACTTCATTGCTCACTCTTGATTACCTTCATCCTTATGTAGATAAGAGTGCTGCAGAGCTCGAAAGGCAGAGATTCGCTTGTGTGGGTTAAAAGTCAGCATTTCCTGAGGGGAGAGGCAAAGGTCAGAAAACCATGTAGAAAACTGAGAGAGACTTCTGCCCACCGGTGACAATACCTGGGATGGGCTCTCTCTCTTTTTTATTTTTTCGAGACAGTCTTACTCTGCTGCCCAGGCTAGAGTGCAATGGTGTGATCTCGGCTTACTGCAACCTCCGCCTCCCGAGTTCAAGCGATTCTCCTGCCTCAGCTTCCCGAGTAGCTGGGATGACAGGCATGTGCCACCATGCCTGGCTTATTTTTGTATTTTTAGTAGAGACTGGGCTTCGCCATGTCGGTCAGGCTGGTCTCAAACTCCTGAGCTCAGGCGATCCACCCGCCTGGGCCTCCCAAAGTGCTGGGATTACGGGCTGAGCCACCGCACGCAGCCAACACTCATTTTCAACTAAAGTAAATGGAGGAGTGATTTTTTTTCTTTTTTAATTTTTACTTTGAAATAATTCAAAGGTGATCCGCCCGCCTTGGCCTCCCAAGTGCTGGGATTACAGGTGTGAGCCACCATGCCTGGCCAAGATGGGCTCTCTTTCACACCCCTGTCTTCTGTAGGTGGCTATTTGCCGCTACAATAAAAACTACAGCCCAACTACCAACCAAGTTTCATTAACCACAGTGGCCAGGGCCCTGTGTACTGCTCTGTTTCTTCCCCCAGTCCCTCCCTGTGCCCATAGCCATCTCCAGTACCAGCAGCAGATGTGCTCCCAACTCCTCCATCTCGGGTACCACCGACTGCACTGGGCGGGGCCCTCGGGGGTGAAAGGCTCCACGGGGCAGAGATACATCTCGAGGCCAGTCATCCTCTGGAGGCAGCCCAATCAGGCTGTGGGGTACAGGAGAGCTGTGGTCAGGAGGGTCCTCCAGTTCCCATCCCCATGGAGAGAGCCAGTTGCCATCCTGGGCTCAGCAGAAAGAGGACTCAGAATGGAAAATATTTTTCTCCCATGTTGGTCACTTACTCAAAGATTTTGCCCAACTGGTCAGCTTCAGAGTTTCCGCAGAAGAGAGGCCTAAGGTAAGAAGGAACATAAGGTAGCTGTCATTTTCAAAGTATCTTAGTTGAATGGTTGTTACTACTTAGTAGCTCAAAACAGAAAGTATAGCAAATAAAGACCAGTAATTCCAGCACTTTGGAATGCTAAGGTGAGATGACTGCTTGAGCCCAGGAGTTCTAGATAAGCCTGGACAAGCAAGACCTCGTCTCTTCAAAAGAAAAAAAAAAAAAAAAAAAATGCCGAGTGCGGTGGCTCACACCTGTAATTCCAGCACTTTGGGAGGCAGAGGTGGGCAGATCATGAAGCCAAGAGATCCAGATCATCCTGGCCTACATGGTGAAACCCCGTCTCTACTAAAAATATAAATATTAGCTTGGCATGGTAGTGTACACCTGTAGTCTCAGCTCCTCGGGAGTTTGAGGCAGAAGCATTGCTTGAACCCGGGAGGTAGAGGTTGCAGTGAGCCAAGATCGCACCACTGCACTCCAGCCTAGCAACACAGCCACACTCTGGGGAAGAAAAAAAAAAAAAAAAGCCATTCATGGTGGCATGTACCTGTAGTCCCAGCTACTCAGGAGGCTGAGACAGGAGGACTGCTTGAGCCCAAGAGGTAGAGGCTACAGTGAGCTGTAATTGTGCCACTGCACTCCAGCCTGGGTGACAGAGTGAGACCTTGTCTCAAAAAAAATAAATAAAAAACAAAGAGAATAAAGGGATATGAAGTTTCTAATTCCGGAACATTTTGGTGCTTCCCATTATGGGCAAGGTATTCAGTAGAACTCAAGTAAAAGAATGGGGCCAGGTGCAGTAGGTCATGCTTGTAATCCCAACACTTTGAGAGGTAGAGTTGGGAGGACTACTTGAATGTAAGAGTTCAAAACCAGCCTGGGCAATATACTGAGACCCCCATCTCTACAAAAATATTAAAAAACTAGCCGGGTATGGAGGTGTGCACCTATAGTGTGAGCTACTTGGGAGACTGAGATGGGAGGGTCACTTGAGCCCAGGAGGTTGAAGCTGAAGTGAGCTGTGATCATGCCATTGCAATCTAGCCTGGGCAACAGAGCAAGATCCTGTGTCCAAAAAAAAAAAGAAGAAGAAGAAGAAGAAGAAGAAGAATGGGAGGGAGGGTTTGGATGTGGTTTATGAACAAGAGATTTGGGGAATTCAAGGTGGTCCAGGGTATGTGGGTCCCATACTTTCGACGAAACATCTCAGCAAAGATACAGCCAACACTCCACATGTCCACAGGTGTTGCATATGTGGACTGCAGAAGAACTTCGGGAGCTCGGTACCAGAGTGTAACAACCTAAAGGGAACAGGAAGAATGGATGGGTATCCCATGCGTTACCATGAAATACAACTTACTTGACTGAACACATGAAGCACATGACTTCTCAATTGCTATAGGCCACCACTCTCCTACTCCCAACCAGAACCCATATTGGTACCATCTTTCTACTGACCACGGGTGTAAGTGCCATCTGGTAGCTGTAGATTCTCGCCAGGCCAAAGTCAGCCAGCTTGACTGTTCCACCACTTGTCACCAGAATGTTCTCTGGCTTCAGATCTCGGTGAACGATGCAATTGGCATGAAGAAAATCTAGGCCTCTTAGAAACTGGCGCATCAGATCCTAGTTCAGAAGAGGGAGGTACAGATGCACTGGAAACTAGGCACCATCCCTGAAATCCCAGGAGGTTCTACTACAAAGGTCCCAATTCACCTCTCAATGCCTACCAACCCCACTCACCTTGATGGTCTCAGCTGGCAAGCCTGGTGGGGGTGCCTTGTCCAGATACGTCCTTAGATCTTGGTCTACATGCTCAAACACCAGGGTTACCTTGATCTCTCGGTCAGTTCGGGATGTGGCACAGACATCCATCAGCCTGGCCAGAGTAAATGCTCACTTGTCAATCCCCTTTAACCCACATGACCTTTCATTATTTCCTCTGGGTCCCCACTTCTCTCCAGATCGCCACACCCCACCTATAGGCTGTCTTTTCCCTTTACTCCCCACTCCCAACCCTCCACCACCTTCTCACCGGACTACGTTGGGATGCTCAAAAGCCTCCAGTCGCCTCAGTAAAGCCACTTCACGAACTGTGCTGACGGGAAGGCCTCCTCCAGCTCCTCCATTGGGGACTCTCACACTCTTGAGGGCCACAAAGTGGCCACTGTGGGGATCACGGGCCTTGTACACTGTCCCATAGGCACCGACACCAATTTCAGCCACTGGCTCATATCGAGAGGTAGCCATTCTCAGATCAAGGGAGACCCTACAATCACAAAGACTCCTACCACTAAAAGTCCATTACAGAGTTAGGATGGGATGAGACTACAGCAATAAAGGGACTCCCAAGAAAAAGCACAAAGAGCAACACCAGCATCCCATCCCCCCGCTCCCAATCTTCCTTGGGCCGGCCCTGGAGATAACACAATGACTCAATACCAACCCCTAGAGCCACGTGAGGCCCTACAATAAAAAATGCCTTTTCCTTTGGGACAATCGCGCCCCGCACAAAGATCACACATGACACACGCCTTGCATCGAAGATCTTACACCTCAGTCCCTAAAATTATACCTTTCCATGACCACAAAGGCCCCATTTCCCGCCCTTGAGCGACCCTTTCGTAACCAGCTCGCGAAACGCACGCGTGGAAAGCTGGGATGGGGGAGGGCACTGGTTCTCATTCCTGGGAAGGGGCTGCACTTACCTCACGCCAGGCCGGGGTGCTGCGAGGGCGGCCCGTTATCGGGGCCCCGGAGCCTGTTCCTGCGGCCCCATACACCCGAGCTCGGTCCCGGGTAGCTGGACGCAGAGGGCCCGACCATAGACACAGGCCGCAGGCTAGAGAGGCCCCCTTACCCCCACCCTCACCATGTGACCAGATGCCAAAGAGGCGCGCGGAAACTGGGAGGGCGGGGCGAACGCCGGACGTTCAGGGCACGTGACCGCCACCCAGGCGCCGAGGGGCGGCCAGGAGCCGCTTTGACGGGGAGGAGAGCGGAGAGCGTAAGAGGGGCGGAGGGGAGATACGGCCATGTGATCTGTTGCTATCACACGTGACCGCTTGACATTGCTCGGAGGAGCAGAGGTGTGGTTACGCGGCGGGCACGTGACTAGCTGCCACAACCCCGCTGCGGGGGGGCGCGCGGTAGCGGGCAAGAGAGGGTGGAGCCCAAGGCGGTGCCCTGGCAACCCAGGCCACCCAGAGCCCAACTCCCGGCTGAAAGATTGTCTCACCGGTCTTTCAGCCTGTCTACATTGGGGAGAGGGTGGGAGTTGGGGGACCAGAGGTGGTGCTATCACCTTTTTGCTCCACCGTGAGAAAACATACTCTCATTTGTGCCATTATTTCACTCATTCATTCTACAAAATTGTACTGAGTGCTTGTTTCCAGTGTGTATGTGGGTTTTTATTTTGTTTTATTTTTGGTGTCTGTCACTGGCTCTTAAAAGTAGTGGTACGACTATCTATAAAGATGTAGCCAACAATGGGGTCTTATAAAACAGGGAGTAGGCAATGCCCACTGGAGGGCAAAACTTCGATTAGGGGATGGACAGAAGGCAGATTAATACAGTAAGACAACAGGAACGGTGGCAAAGTAATGCCCTCTA